CGTGATGGTTAAGTCAACAGTGCACAGATCCCAGAAATCCTTTCTCAAAGCAATAGAAAATCTCACATTCTTCAGAACAATGATTCGCAAAACGGGCTGGCTAAGAAGAGGATTTCAAAATCAACTCAACCATGAAATGAAGTGTTTCTTTATTGCAATGGTTGACTGCCATCTCATGCATATAGTGGAATTGCCTGAATGGTGGAAATTAGATGACTACTGCCATCTTGTGGATGACTGCATAAAAGCAGTGCTTGAGCATTTTATTGCTCAAATGTTGCTCTTTGGTGGCTTAGTAGACTTAATGGTGTGTCTCAAAAAAATCATTAGGAGAAAGAGATATTTCTTGTGCAGATTAAAAATAGTAATAGTTATAGTTATCATTGTACAATGCAGCATCAAAACTGAGAAGATTTTTAGTGTTGGATGAGAAAATGGTTCTTGTTTTTACTTCAGTTGTAAATAAACAAGAGTGTTATTATTTTGGCAAATCTGAGCACAGTATCAGTTCTCTATTAAAACTAAGGAGGAGACACATGAGATTACTGGGTTCTTTTGCTCAGGAGAAATATCCGAGGAGTAGGAGACTTGAGCAAAAGTCTCCTTTGTCTTTCCATCAGATTCTTATTGTTGTCTAGGAGAAACTACAAAGATATTTAGGAGATCCCTTGTTAGATTTTTATTTCTTATGGGATAAGTCAAAGACTATATTTTCTTTTTGAAGGAAAATTTCCCTTTGTAGTCCAGGACTAGGTTTAATAGCTGTACTCACAATGTTCCATAAGGTGGACCAACAAGGTAGGAGTGTCTAATAGAGTGGACGGTGAGTGAACACAGTGACTAAAACTCCAGAACGCATAAAGTGTCCAGTGAATGTATGTTTTATTTGTTTGATCCTTTTTTAAAGTTAACATGCAGTGGATGGATATCCTCTTAGTTGGTGTCTCATGTCTTATATGTCTGATCTTAGTGTGTTGCAGCAATGTTTGGACGTGTATGTCTGTGTGTCAGGCTTGGGTCTTCCTGACCCCTTGCTGTGAACAGGTGCTTCTCTCGTCAGCAGACGTTCCTCTTCATTACTGTCCAGCAGAGCATTCACGAGCTATCACCCACATCTACTTACACATGCATATGTGTGTGTGTGTGTGTGTGTGTGTGTGTGTGTGTGTTACCAGTTGGTAAAATAGTCCTGTCTTATTCATTTGAACTTTTGTAAGAAGAACTAAAGGAAGAAACTGAAACAGTGAAATTACGGTAGGAAACAGCAGTCGTAAATTTCCTTACTTTTCATAAATGAACACAGGATTCAGAGCAGATATCTGTACAGTCTTGCAGAGTCATCTATAAAAGATAATCCACCGTATGCAGTGCACCATTTTATGAATCATCATACGTACTAGCAGTTGCCAGAAGAATTTGCCAAGTACTTCATCCTTTCTTTCTTTCTGCCCTACGTTGCCATGTTGTGCTGCAATAAATGTGTTGTCGAGAACTTGGATGCAAAATGCTGTGCTGTTGTGTAATAACAAGTATTAGAGAGCGCGGGTGTTACTAATTAGCCCCGTTCTCTTACAAATAATGACTGCTTTTTCATGAATTCTGCAGCTACTGAATTTATTCTGCAGTGGCATCAATTATTCTGCTTCCTCAGCAGTATAATTTATATTGCATTTACAGTAAAATAATGTAAATTGCTGTTTCAACAATAGAATGTACACTGCAGTTGCAGCAACAGAATTTCTACTGCAGTTGCAGCAATAGTGTTTTAATGAGCTCACTAAGGACTTTTACATTGAAGGTTCTCTTTGAGGCTTTGTCTCACACATCTTATTGGTGACACTTGTAAGCTGATTAGCACTGCAGCAGGGTCTGCAAGTGATCAGAAAAGCCCTGTTTACAGGCCGTACTATCTAACCTTTAATTATAATAAGACATTTAATAATTAACAGCACACAGACAAACTTGATGAGACAACACTGGTAAAATCTACAATAATGGATGATTAGCACTTTGTACCTGTAACAACCTGATGGATTGAGGCCTGTAAGTAAAAAAACAGTGGAATGATAAGAGAAGAAGAGGAAGATGATGATGATGAGGAGGAGGAGGAGGAAGATTATGAAGATGAAAAAAGAGGAACGTTATCGTTTGTGTTTTCTTTCATCTCTAATACAATGTCAGGTAATTTTTACCTTTCTTTTACCTTTTTTCAGTGTTTCACGCACAGCATGACCCAATTGTTTAACAGTAAATTAGCCTTTACTCAGCAATTTCCTTTAAATAGGATAAACTACAGCAGCATTTACTACAAAGCATAATTCAGTGTTCTATGTGCTCCAGCACATCTGAGACAACTATAGTTACTTTGTTTGAAAGTCAGTGTGTTAGATCAGAAATTCTGACCCTGAGGAAAGGGCTATCTATAGTGGGGGTGTGCAATATGAAAATATTGTTGCTGTCCAAACAGAACAAAAAAATGTATCTTCAGAATAGTAACTTTACAGGAGAAAGCAATAATATTCTTAACTTTTAATGTAAATTAATGTAATGAATATTTTATTCAAAGTAATTTTAGAGCATTTCTATTGGTTAATTCCTTATTACATTTTCACACAATGTAATGGGCAGCTATTGTGTTCAAATGAAGTAGCAAAATAAAAACTGAAAACATGGAGTTGTTTGTTTGTCATGCTTTTTATGTCAACAACATGCTATGATAGTTGTGATAAATTGTAAAATATACTTTTCTGAGTAGATCATATATGTATATATATATATATATATATATATATATATATATATATATATATATAAATGGATAGATCTACTCAGAAAAGTATATATATATATATATATATATATATATATATATATATAAATGTTTAATTGGATTGGAATGGTTTCAGGGTTAGACCTTAGATATTTACAAGTATTATGTTATGATCTTTTTAAACCCAAGGCAATAAGCTAAGTACAAGGTACTTTCTGTCAGAGGAGGCTGTCCCAAAACTTAACCCTTAAATTCTTTTAAAGGGAAATTTAATTATTCTTTTAAATAATGAATTTAATGTTTAATTTTAAAAAACTATTCAAAATACGCTGTCCCACATTTTCATGTCACTATCGAAACACTAGTTCTAGTCTCTGGGCAGAGTCTTATTTTAGCCACGCCCCTGCATTTTAGAGCAGATAACGAGACTGCATCCCTTTTCTCTTGGCCTAGGTCTCATTGTTTTTAAGAAAATGTGTCCCAAAGTCTGAAGATCAGTGTTTAACATTAAGAACTGTCACTATTGAGATACATTTTCTTCTACTATTTGTGTGTTTTAATGAAAAATATTATGATTTTATATGTGTACAACTGTTCAAACCATGTTTGCTAGTCATACACTGACTAGTGTTTCTGAGTTGGCAAAAATTGTTGCTACTGAATCATTTGGTAAAATTTCTGTAGTGCTATGATCGTTTTGGTAGTGACAAAATGGAATGTTCAATAATTTATTCATTTAAAAATAAAATAAACATAATATAGTTACACAGTCATTTAAAGCAAAAAAGATTTTTTAGTCTAAAGTGCAGATCAGTAAATGTCTTTAAGTATCAGAATATTAAATTTTTGCCATATAGCCCACTCCTAGTCTACAGTGATGTAAAAATGTCATACTGAAATTAATGTTCTTCAGGTTCTTCATACCCTGCTTTTAAGTTTGTTTATTTGGCTTTTTTTTCTTTTTCATTCCTCAGCCCATAATCTGTTCTGAGAAAGAGTGTGAAACAGCTAAGCCTACTGTTCTGTTTGGACAGCTCATTTTTTTCTATTCTTCTTCTTTATACTACACAGCTGTTTTTCTTCTTCACACACTTAATCGATCAAGTTGAATGATGATAATCAAGTAAATCATCTCACTTCAAAGCTGTTACAACATTTATCTCAGATTGCATATGGGTGCTTCTGAGCATGTCTTTGTCAACTGACATAAATGAAGTGTGTTTCCAGCACAGAGGCCAAAATAACAAGGGCAATTTATGGACAATGTCGTGAGAGCAGCTTCACTGTCTGATTCATCAACCGTTCAGTCATCACAGATGGTCTCCACCTGTGCTGAGATGAAACTGTTAAGATTCTGTTAAGCAAAATATTCCACAGATCTCCCACCACACGGCCAGCACGCACACATACACACACAACTTGTACTATGAATGAATCACAGTCTTAATAAGTAATAATAAGAGCATGTGTGGCTTCTAATCAAACTATTGATGATATAGTGGTTTAGGATACATACAACCATAAAACAGCATGACTTGTGAACTACAAAGTTATCTATGATTAACCCATTTATGTTCAACAACTAAATTTATTACGGTAAGAAAAAATATCACAGAACTTCTGAGTGGTCTAAATCAGGGCTGCTTGAAGTGTGACCTGTAGGCCAAAGTTAGCCCATGAGCACGGTCGATTTGGCCTGTCACAAAGTTACCCTAACCTCACCGACTTACTCAATGAGAGAACAAACGGATTTTTATGTTATATATAATTTTATATATATAACTTTGAATTCCTTTTAAAATAGCATTTTTAGATATTTTGGTAACAAAATATAGTATAATGTTATAAAATACATTTTTCAAAAGTTTGAACACTTTTTATTTGTTATTTTGTCTTCTCTGAGCATTTTGGCCCCTCATAGACCCCTGGTATAAAGTGAAGAAAGGTTGTGTTTATATCTTGAATGATCATCTAACAGTATTTTGATTTCTTTGACTACATATAATTTTTTTACTTTTACTCATACTCATTTTCCCCTAAAAATCAGTCCCATTTGACTAAAATTAATTAGTATAATAAGTATAGTGATTACAACTCCATTTCCCCTATCAGTTTAATCGATTTGACAAAAAAGCTCGGAGATGTTGACCAAAAATCATTTTAGACATTAACGAGTTAATAAAACTACACTGTCATACTGTAACCATACTCTAGAGGGCGCATTAGCGTGTCGTCATATCTGCGCGACATTTATTCCAACCCACCAAAACAGTGGTGCTGTCGTGTTAGCGGGTTAAGTTATTTACTTCTGCAGTTTCAGGAAGAAAAAGACTGAGATGTTAGAATGTACTGAACTTCATATTCACGTGTACTTGCAGTATCTGCTGGTTTTAGTCCTCAGTCCTCGGTCGGTTGAGAGTGCTGGCCGGCGGACTGAGAGGCTGAGCGGAGCTGAGCGGAGCTGAGCTGCTCACTCACGGTGATAGTATAAACATGGACAAACGCTGCTCCGCCTCTCCTTCTGCTTTAGAGGAAGCAGCGTGTCGTCAGCCTCGACATGACGCTTCCGGAGTAGATCAGTAGCCGCAGAGATAGTGACAAAGTTTTCATTGCAGGTTTTCTTCGGAGTCTGGGCTGTTTTAGGAGAGCAGAGATGCTGAACGTCCCGCCCCAGTCATTTCCCTCGGTGAGCTCTCAGCAGCGCGTCGCTCCGTCAGGACAGCCGAGAAACAAGGTCCTCCTACCTTCATTTGATCTTATAATGCTGTGTCAGCCATTCTGTCCTGTTAGGGAACAGTTTGTCAGAATGTGTATTAAATAGAACCATTTTCTGAAGCCATTTTGGTGTTGGTTCTAGACCTGTAGCCATCTGTCTGGGCTTCAAGGGAAACCCATAAGAAAACTACTGTACCGTAGTACAGATACTATTAATTGGTACACTGCAGTAAATACTACATGTTTTCTATTGGAAATTCTAAAGTTCTTCTGAATCATACTGAATTTTTCGGTCAAGTGTAAACCCCCAGAGCTTTTCACACTAAAGTGACTTTTCAAGATTGTCTGATTGATTTTAGATTGATTCCAGACACTTGTGAGGAGTGTCATCACTGAGAAGGTTTTGTGTGCTTTGATGTAGGTGGCACTGAAGCCAGGCCATAGTCTTATGGACTGGATACGTCTTACAAAAAGTGGGCGTGATCTGACTGGACTGAAAGGGCGACTGATTGATGTCACAGAGGAGGAACTTAAGAAACACAACACAAGAAATGACTGCTGGACATGCATCAGAGGTACAGGCTTCCTCTCAAACGACCCAGCTGACAAAGAATGCTGTATGACAATTTTGAAAGAATCCTTTGATTTGATTTGTTCAGGACCCTTTGTTTTCCTTCTTTCAAGACTTTTTTCTGTGTGCCTCACTCCTCTCTTTTTATACTTAATTTCGTATATTGGACACACTGCTTTTATACAAGTTAATCTAAAGACCATTGTAGTTCTAGAGGGGTAATACAGGTGCTCAGGATGCTCTCTGTGGTGCTTCTGTAGAAGATGGTAAGGATGGTGGGTGGGAGATGAGCTTTGTTTAACTTCTACAGAAAGTAGAGACACTGCTGGGCTTTCTTGGCTATGAAACTGGTGTTTAGGGTCCAGGTGAGGTTCTCTGCTAGGTGAACACTAAGAAACTTGGTGGGAGTATACTTGGCAGGGGAGTATACTGGTGTATGTGGGTTGAGTGGGCAGGTTGGTTAAAAGGGGGTCGCAAAACATTTTTAACTCAAAAAAAAGGGTCGCACTGTGAAAATGGTTAACCCCTGGAAAAGTATACTATGTGTAATTTTATCAACAAGGAGTAGAGGATATGGTTTCAATGATGCAATGCTCATTAAAGCCTACACAGTATGTTGTTAAAACATGCTTCTGAAATAAACCAAAATAAATGGTTTGTAAGTGGGTGTTTATATTTCAGGTATGGTGTATAATGTGAGTGCCTATATGGATTTCCACCCTGGTGGAGAGGAGGAACTGATGAGGGCAGCTGGGATGGATGGTACTGACCTGTTTGACCAGGTAAATAATGAACTAGCAAAGTTTTTGCCATTAAGAATATGATGTGAATATATTTTGTTACCCAATTCGGTGGCATGCTAAGCTGCTAAATAATTGCAGAAGAGCAAATGTGTATTAATTAAATGAATAGGAATACTGTGCACCCAATCTTTACTAATAAATGCTACAGAGGCAGTTCATGATGCATCAACATTTTGCCTATAAGTAAATTAGTAATTAATGAAGTAATATCCGCTGACAGGTCCACCGGTGGGTGAACTATGAGTCCATGTTGAAAGAGTGCCTTGTGGGTAAAATGGTGGTGAAGGCCAGCACGGTCCTTAAAGGTATGTCAAGTCCTTAGTAATGTAATTTATCTGTAGAGAGATTAGCTGCGTTTTCAGCATTGAAACTAGTGATGCTTCGATATTGATATTGGTATCCGATGCCTTGCTCATGTGCTCATACTCATAAAAATTCATCGATACAAACGTTCTGATACCAGCTGTGACGTAAGCCGAGTGCACTGCTACGCTAATGAACAAACACAGTGAAGGAGACTCTGCCCGCACAGAGAAGAGTTAGAAGAGACTCTCTGACAGTCTGACTCAAACCTGTCAGTCATTTTAAACATTCTGTAGTTTCTCAGCCACTTTGCTCTGCACTCGGCACACAGTGTGTTGGTTTGAATGAAATAGTCCGTAGACAGAGCTGTCTGTAGAGGTTGTTGTAACAACTTTAAGGATGGGTGGAGTAAGGACATCAGGAACAGATGTGGAGACGGAGAGCTATGTTTTATTTATACACAACACAAAAACCACTCAGCTTTTCAGCTCACTGACAAATGAAGACAAGCCGCTCGTTGGGACCTTTCAGTCTCTTCCGTGCTTTCTCAGCTCTCCCCTCCCATATACAGTTTACCATGGCCAGTGTTGTCATGCATGCAGCTTAACTCTGAGGGCAGATTTACAAAGGGTAAAGGTGACATAGCAGAGTCTTTGAATGTATGATGTTCAGTTTAAGGCATGTTATTCAGAACAGGTGATTTTTTTTTTTGTGAACTTGCTGGCAAACCCTTTTGTGGTTAATTCAGTTCAGTGCTGGCGTTACAACTTTTTTGTTCTAAAATCACTGAATGAACCATTTTTGTTTGCATTTGTCTGTAACAGATTGCAATATTGAAGTACAAAATTATTGTATAGCAACTGTAATATTATTGTTCTAGTAATATATTACATTATGTAGCTTTTTGTCAAAACAAGTTGTTGAATTGTACTTTCCTTTGTAACAACATAAGATTAATTATAGTGATCAGTGTATTAAGTACATGTAGCTCATTATTTGTTTCCATGCTTTCACAGCTCAGCCAACAAAAAAGGAGAATACTCATGTAAATGGTACGACCACATAAATAAAGAAATAAATATATATATATATAATATTTTAATCCAGTTGCTATTTACTAAGAGCTTACACTCTGTTTCTTAGGTCTCACCCCTCCTCCTCCTGTGTTGCCAGAGCCAGCAGCAGTTCCGCTTCCAGCTAAAGACCATCGCCCTCGGTATTCTTCAGTTCTATAAGTCAGAACTAAAAATTATCATGTGTCAGATCATAGATGTATATACATATTGCAGGGAGCAGCCTCAGTAATTATCTTAATTAACTGTTTTTTTTTCCTACAGATATGACTGGTTCCAAACAGATGAAACCGTTACTATTGTTGTTTATACCAAGCGGAAGGTATGGTGTTTTTACAGTGTGCTTCATGTCGATCCACTCTCATGTTTTAACCCTTACTCTGTGTCTTTCTCTTTGTTTCTTTGTGTCTCTTCTTTCTGTCCTTGTCAGATCCCGAACTCTGGCTGTTCAATGGTGGACCTTCAAGGCAACATTCTACGAATAGAGATACTGTTGGGAAGTTGGTCATATTTGCTTCACTGGAGTAAGTATTTCAATCAATTTGTGACTCAGTTTCACTTAAATAACACTGATATACTTGTTTGATACAGTAAATCTTGAGCATGTCTCTTTTTAGGCCTTTCTCATGGAGTAGAAGAAATTGTTGCCAGTGAGTGTTTTTTTCCTCTTACATCTCTTAATAATAAGATGTGGGTATTGAATTGAGCTGGGTCTTTGTCCGATCAGTGGGAAAAGACACTACTGAGAACAAAGAGTTAGTGGAGATTATGTGCTTACATGTTCAATGTCATTGCCAACATTCATTTTCCTATTTATAATTTGGCTAGACAGAAATAAATGTCTTGTTCTCGCATATGCAGAGCTTTACAAAAATGTATGAAGCTGCATTTTAGGCTCTGTGCTGTTGAACTCCAAGCTGACAGAGTGCAAATCTCAGTGAAGGACAGAGTATGTGTGGAGAATAAAAAAAAAACAGCTTACACTCTTTGGCTTGAAGCTAAACTTTCTCACTTCCCCGAATTCATAGCCATAGAGTTAATATAGAGGTGGGTAATATGGCAAAAATATAGCATCACAATACTTCAACATATTTTCATGATACGCAGTGTTACACAATATGTATATTTTTTGGCATCTGAACAAAGTTGAAGCTGACAAAAAGGAACCAATAGTACTGCCTTAAATGCTGTTGAAAATTATGAATACAGTGATCTGTATGCAACATTTTACATCCTGAGCTGCACTAATTCCAGTTAATCAGGACTAATTGTACTCTTAGACATGCATTTGGGAAGTGTTTTTTAAGTACTGATGATATCCATGAAATGAACAGCATATTGTGAAGTCATTTGTCATTTGTCATTGACAGTAAGTATTGTCTTATTGCCCAGCCCTAGCTAATACCCACAATTTTTTATACTGTCATCTTTAATGAAGAACTGCACTATTAGAAAAGACTATTGATAGTAAATATTTAGCTAATGTGAAATATCAGTATTTGAGAAAAGTTTGACAATGATGTGTCCTAATGTTTTTCTTTCATTCCTGTTGTGGTTGTAGCTAAGACAGTCAGTTCAGTTGGAAAGATTCAAGTGTGCCTGCGCAAAGTGGTTAATGCCAAGTGGGCACAGGTGGGCCAACCCCTGGAGTCCCATGACTCGTTTATTCGGAGTAAAGATCGTGGTAAGTGCCAGTTTACTGCTCCGTTTGTGAATAAAAGGAAACTGGCTAATTTGCAACCACTGGTTACAAATAAGTAAAAAGTTTAGTAACAGCTGATTTGTGATCTGAATGCAGGGCTGTTCTACAGAGACTGTGTGTTGGTTTCAAAAAAAGAAGTTACACATGATACTCAACTCTTCTGTTTCCGACTACCTCCTGGAACACACATGCACGTCCCCGTTGGGAGACATGTCTACCTCAAAGCATCAATTCAGGGTAATGCCTCACTTAGGCCAAGCGTTTCAATTGAGATAGTCTAGCTCTTGTCAGATTCATACCTTATTCTGTGATACACAACAAAATTCGCTCAAACAAAAAGTTTTTTTGTACTTGAACACCTGTCATACAAATTCTGCTTGTTTCATTCAAACAAAATTGTACTTGAATGTGAGTTTTTTCTTGTGCACAGGTAGCGATGTTGTAAAACCCTACACACCAGTAGACGAGGTGCTTATGCCACAGAAGAACACAGTTAGCTCTGATATTTATCTCATGGTTAAGGTCTATCCTGATGGATTGTTCACCCCACATCTAGACAGCCTTGATATTGGTGAGACACAAGGGTGTGCATGTATGCACAAGTAGTACAGCAAAATTACCTATAAATGTTAGTTGTTTTGGATTACCATCTATGTAACAGTAGACATTTGGGACAATGATGCTGTACCGTTTTTCATCCTACCTGAATGTTCTCTTTTAGGAGCCTCTCTGTCCATCAGCAGTCCAGATGGTCCCTTTACGCTACGTAGCCTGCGTGATGTCACTCATTTGTACCTCTTAGCTGCTGGCACTGGTTTCACACCTATGGCTCGCCTTCTTCGCCTGGCTCTACAGGACCTGTCCTCTGTCAGGTTAGATGCTACATAGACATGCCAGGTTTCCATGCAGCTGTCGAGTTAAAGTCATGCATGAAATTGAAGTGTCACACAAAAGTTTCCACCAGCTCTGCAGAAGAGAATAAAACTCTGCATCTCATTTGTAAAACAGTTCTGCAAAATTTGTACACAATCTACAAAGAAATCTTTAATACTGAGCAACTTCTTTTTGCTGTTTTTATTAGTATGTTTTGTCACTGTTTGTTTACTGTCTAAAATCACTGTTACATTTCTTCTTTTGACAAGATAATGGTGTGCTTTGTTTTCTTCATTAGTCAGCTGCTGCCTTTTGTCATGTTTTCTAAGTACAGCTGATACAATACATTTGAGAGAAAGCATGACCTTATTCTATTTACACTTACATTGCATAATGCAAATGCATTTCTTTTGCGATTTATTGCATTTCTTTTTGTCATCAAAAGTTCATCCATCTCAAGCAAGTGTACAAATTTTATGTGGATTTGAGGAATTTTATTTGATATTTGTAGTTTCTGTAGCTATTTTACTCAACCTTTTTTTGTTATTGCTATCTTTTAGTATTAAACTCCTTTTTCTGTGCATGACTGAGCCCTCTGCTCAATAACTTTTGTCTGTTTTCCACTTTTGTGCTCGCTGATTTTATCTTTTTTTTTTGGTCATTTGAGCTGTAAAGTTTTTTTAAATTACCTTTGCACTTTTTCCTGCCATCAGAGCACATAATCAAACTCTTAAGCCCATGCATGTTATTGCTGCCCTTTTAGAAAAACCAAGCTCATGTTCTTCAACCGTCAGGAGAGGGACATACTATGGCACTCTGAGTTGGAGCAGCTGTGTACAGAGGAGGAGAGGTATAGGCCATTCACCAGTACCTCACTTAATAACAGTTAGTAAACGACTGTTAGCGATTAACTGCATCTTCCATGTGTGACTACATATGGGAAGTACTAGTGCTTACTAAGTTCCAGGGAGCCCCATGCTAATCTTGACTGCTCCAAAATTACTGAACATGGCCCGGCATTTGTGTCAGGTTTCAGGTTGAATATGTCCTCTCGGAGCCTCCAGGCTCGTGGATGGGCAGAAGAGGACAGGTAGAGGCCACCATGCTACAGGGTTTCCTGGAAAGACCAGAAGACTCAAAGTGCTTAGTATGTGTGTGTGGGCCCAGTGGTTTCACTGAGTTAGCAGTACAGTGAGTATCACAATTCATTCAGTTCTCTGTTCTTTCAGTCACTCGCACTTAGATACAGTATGTTCACTAGTATGTTTTGTTCACACTTGGCAAGTTTGATTCAATTAAAACAAACCCTGGTGTGATTGCTCTATTAGTGCAGGTCTTGAAAACAAGTTGGAATGTTGCCATTTGAACCCTGGTGCAGACCAAATAAGCAGTCCGAAACCTCGAGTTCAGTCTTGGCCCACTATTAAATGAACTCTGGTGTGATTAATTTTAAAGACGAATACGTAATGGACCAAATACAGAATTAATCATCTCCGGCATCTCCTCTCTGCAGATTTGCTTTGGTTCCTGTAACAGATCAATTTCTGATGCCGTTTTCACACATGCATGTGTTTTATCATCTCTACATGAGCTCTGAATTGTTAACTATAGAATGGAAGGTTTCAGTCTTAACACAAGGCTGAGGCATGTTTAAAGCCGTTATAAAATACTTGATAACTACACATATGACCGAACACATCAATTATATTTTGTATTAATGTGAAGTTTTCATGGCTTAAAAACCAGTAAACCACTCAGGCTGTTACACTGATTTACTTTGTGATGTGGGAGAACCACAGAAACGCACTGCCTCTCGTGCCTTATTGCTTTAGAATATCACAAGAAGGGATGAGTGAGTATTCAAATAGTTGTTGCAGTTAAAAAAAAAAATAGTAAATGAAGATTTCCAATATGTTAATAAGCTTGTCTCTAACGTGATGCATTCTGCTAAGAACCATGAGATATCTGACATCTGTACTCCCCCAAAGGTCACTGTAGAGCCTGCGTTTCAGGTTTTGGAGTTCCTTATCTGTTTTCTCCAAAAAAGCACAAATAAACATCAAGCCCAAGCTCTTTTTACACTCTACTCATATAGATTTATAGGGTTCATCTCATGGAAAACCAAATTTTCTTCACTTTTTTGTGGTAAAAGAGCTTATTGTAGTATGAAAATACTTCATTCCTCAGTCTTTACATGGAAACTAAGCTGCAAAAAAACAGCCTGTTTTAAGTTCATTATTTTTATGATGTCATGAAAACCAAAATAATACATAGTTCCACCTGTTCAGTTTACAACAGTTTAGCTCCACCCATTCACAATGAAGTTTGTCAGGACTACTTTTTGAATGTGGCCCATTATAGGACAGCCAATCAGAATAGAGATTGTTTTAAAGGCACAGTAACAAAAACAGCCTGTTTAGTTTTAATAGATAAAGATATGTTGGAATTATAACTGTGTTTGGTAATAAATATAATGGAAAAATAAATACTTGAAAAACGTATAAACTTTCATCACCTTTTAAGCCTTCATATATCTGCCCTCTCACATCCCTCTGTATCTAATCTTCTTACAGGCTGGTCAGGCAGCAGGGATTCAGCGAAGAGGAGATTCATGCTTTCCAGGGATGATTCCTGTGTTCAAGTGTACAATGGCTTTGTTGTAGTGCCGACCATTTCTATGCATATCAGACTAAAAAAAGCACTTCATTTCTCACAATGACTGATGTGAGGTTTCCACTGAATAGCAGCATACACTCTCTTACACGATGCATGATTCTCTTGAACGTCTGTGCGCCTAGCGATGGAAAAAATGTGAGAGGGCATTTCAGGGTGCTGTTGTCCATTCTTCCATCCCATGTTTATTTCATACTTTTTAATTTGAAGAAATTTACTTTCAGAAATTGTATAGCACTGGTTCAAAATGTATTTTTTATCTGTTATGTGCATTTTTGTAAGATTGAGATGAAATGGCCCTTTCTCTCTGTCAAACAATCTTTGACGAAAGTACTCAACACATGTAAGCTATAAATGCTCACTGAAAGTGGAAGTGTGAATGATTGCATTTAGAATGTGAATAAGCGTCCTAAAGCATAATTTATCCAGTCATTACTTTGCTCCTGGCCTGGTCAAAAAGTATGGCTTGCAGTTTTACTCCACATACTCACAGATGTAATTGTAGTACCTGTAGGCCATGTTCTAAAATGAAACTGATGAGCTTACTGAGAAGAGCATGATCTTGCACAGTAAAACCTGGAGCTAAAATAGATGTGTTGACCTGGAGTAAACAACTTCCATTAGTTTGTTATTTTTTATTTATAAACCTTTTTGGCTTTTTTCTTCAAACTTGTGCAGGCTGTATTCAGCAGTGCATGAGTAATGGTGCAATGTGAGCCCTTCATTATTTTATTTATGATGCATCAAAGATTGAAAACTGCCAACATTTAACAGCTTGCTCTTTTTTTTTTAGATCTGAGACTTGACTGCTTAAACATAGTGATGTTCCTTGGGTTTCCTGCTGTACAGTTTAGGGTTAATCAGTAATTCTGAATGCATCCAGTTTTGTTTAACTCACAAATACTGTGACAGCCTGCAAACATCTAGCAGCTGATCCAGGTGAAGGAAGTGAAACTTGTCACAGAGACACCAGAGGCAATACATTAAACAGTATTTAGAATGCAATTCGTATGTGCCCATATCCAAAGGCAAGGATAATATAAATACCAATATTGCCCGTATTAGCTTCCACTATTTTTCACTGAAGACTGTTTCAGACAGATTTCACTGCCAGTGAAACCCAGTGTGCTTGGTTCCACCATATTAGAAGTGCTCGGGTAACGTTTGCCACCAACAGAAAATGGTGGCTCACATCTGTGGTACAATAAACATGCAGTACTGTACTGTGTATTTTGGCTGGCCTATTTGTATGCTTTATATGAGCATAGGTGGGCATCAGCCAACACTGTAAATTTGCTTTTTCTTTTGTACTTTTAAGCATTTCCTATGCTGTGCAGTAACTGAATGCTGCAATTCTTCCCTTGTATGTGAATCTTCTGTTATCCACTAAATTATTTTCCTGTGTAGTTACCTAGAGTTTGGGCAAATAAAAGTCATAAATAAGGTGGATTTTTTGACTTGAAAAAAAAAATTGTCATGTTTTGACATGTTTGTGTTGTATGAGAAAAATGTAGGGTGGTGGTGATTTTAAGTCTATTAATTGAAACTCATCAATATTAGGAGGTTAATTAAAAAATAAATTTAAACATGACAAGGAAGCTTCAATATGGAAATATGTGAATGCTGTGAAATTATCCTATGATTAGAAACATAATTAGAGCTTTCAGTTCAAGATCAGATGTTAAAAATAGATTTTGAAGTTCATCCTGGCTCATTTTGCTGATGAGATATGATGAGGGTTACTATATTTTTTTGTGAACAAGGGTCTCTCTGACTTTAAAAGGAAATTCTACCTGGTTTTGTTTTTACATTTGTACATAATTAAAAATGTAAAGAGAGCAATTTGATGTGAAATTCTAGAGAAATGTATTGTGTCAGAATTGTTTGCAGTGGTGTTGGTAGGAACCAGACATCTGAGTTTAATGCTTCAGAAAGCTCTCTCACAGAAAGCTGTTGTATGAAGTGGTTATAAATTAGCTGCCTGATGTCAGAGACATTGTATTATGTTAGTTTTGAAATAAGTCCAAATTTGGTCTAAAATGTTTTAATCCACTCATGGTGGACAGGTACATGCTGGGTGTTGTGAGGTGGTAAAAAAAACAAAAAAAACATTTTTTTTCATGTTTAGAACTATTTTACCATTAATCAACATTACATATAAAAACAGTGATGATATGTAGGTTCACTGTGATTTTTGGATAGTAAATAAACTGACTATATTTGCATTGTAGACATTGTGACAACTTGTTCCTGTCACTACCACTGTAAAAAAAATTCTTTGGTAAGTTTCTCTATATTTAACTATTTTACATCAAACCACTTTTAATGACTTTGACGCACTAGTTTCTTGTATTTATTTTCATTTATTTATATATTCATTGAGCTGCTCAACAGTGTAATTTACAAAGGGACTGAGAATTCAATAACAATTGAAGGTGAGTGTTACAAAAGGTATATCACACTGATTTATGAGTAGTACCATTGCTAGAGGCTTTTTTGACTGGTTCAGGGCTGTGTGAATACATTTAGGTCTTTTTTGAAAACAAAAAAGCACTGGAGTTTTTACTTTTGTGTATATACAATTGTTCAAAAATAACAATAAATACATAAAGTTTACATCTCTACATGGTGCACCACATTGTTGAGTGAGGCTGGAGTTATGAGACACTCCTTTTAAATAAAATGAGAAAAATTGGGGGAGATAAAGTCCCAGAACAGATGATAAATGGTTTCATTGTGGCAGTGACAAAAAAGAACAATCTGGCATAGCAGGGCTAAATATATCCAGTCTACAGCTCTAATAATTTTAATTCATTTTAAGGGAGACTTTCACACTTTTATTGGAAAGGAAAAAAAGCCTTCCTTCCAATCTATGTATGTCTTTTTTTTTTGTTTGTGTTTTTGTTTTTTTGTTTTTTTTACAAAAAGAGAGTGGCCCCTAAACAGAGCGGAAGAACCTAATAAGAACGGAGAGCAAGAAGTTTGCTCAGAGACGTTTCTAGTGAAGTGCTGGGGTCACGCAGGCGTGTCCCAGCTGTGCTGTTGTTCAGTAGATGGCAGTGTTTTTATTGTTGGGTTTTGAGGCGAAAGCAGCAGAAGCAGACTGACAGGAGCGCTAGCGTTAGCGGGTTAGCTCAGTTTAAAGGGGAAACGAAAGGACAGCAGACTGAGGGGACATTCATTTTTTCCCGAGGAGTTAGCCAGCAGTTTTGAATAATGTTCTTTTTAACCACGTCTTTTCAGCCTCAGGTACTGTACGATCTGTAACTATATTTTAGCCCGCTGTACACACTGACCGATGAAGATTAATAATATAACGCACAGCGCTAGCGCTTAGCCGCGGCATCCAGACATGAGTCAGCTAGCTAGCTAACTTAGCGGTAACCTAGCCATCATGAGGTTTTGTAAGTAGCTCTGTAGGTGGCTACGTTTTACGTTAAATGTGTTGCTTTCTACATACTGTACAGATGTGACAGTAACTTGTTGTTTCTATCAAAGATACACAATTCTTGGGTTTCTTAGTCGCTAGTTGGTACAGTCAGCAGTTACAGTTACGGCAGTTATGCAACACACAACAGCCTAATATTCACGCTACTAACGATGGAAAGTAGCGTTACTGTACATGGCCATGTACATATCTGAATAGAGGCACATGTTTTGGTTCGTGGAGGCATTCAGACATTTTTAGCGTGTTACATTGTGTTGAGTACATGAAGACAGTTTTTAAACACCTTAGTATCATGGCAGTGCGCTTTCAGTTTCCAATCAGTTGAATGAAACAGCAGCTAAAAAGCGAGAGAGGAGACTGATTACGAGCGAGCTGGTTTCAGTTGGACAGTGTGTAAGGTTAGGGAGTTTTTCTGTTTCTCTGCATTCTCTGTTAGCCCCATTTTACCCTGACCCCCAGAGAGCGGGTATTATTTGGGTGGCGGATCACTCTCAGCACTGCGCTGACACTGACATGGTGGTGGTGTGTTAGTGTGTGTTGGGCTGGTACGAGTAGATCAGACACAGCAGCGCTGCTGAAGTTTTTAAACACCTTAGTATCATGGCAGATCTGAGAATAGTCCACCAACCAAAAACGTCCAGCTGATAGCATCCTGTGGGCAGCATCCTGTGGGCAGCATCCTGTGACCACTGATGAAGCATTAGAGGATGACCAACACAGACTGTGCAGCAACAGATGAGCTAGAGTGGACAGTGAATAGACCCAGTGTGTAAAAACTTCAGCAGTGCTGCAGTGTCTGATCCACTCGTACCAGCACAACACACACTAATACACCATCATCACGTCAGTGTCACTGCAGTGCTGAGAATGATCCACCACCCAAATAATACCTGCTTTGTGGTGGTCCTGACCATTGAAGAACAGGGTAAAAGGGGGCTAACAAAGTATGCAGAGAAACAGATGGACTAAAGTCTGTAATTGTAGAACTACAAAGTGAGTTTTGATAATTTTATATGGTCAGAGCTTGTTAGGGATTTTTCATCTATGGTATTTGAAAAGCGTATTGTAGTTATATGTGTAATATGTTCAGTTTCACGCCCATTTATTACAATGTGAGACACAGATCAGGATGTTCTGTTTGTTCTGATTCACAGTGTCCATGATGATTGCACGTGTTCAATGTAATTATATAATTATATTTGTAAAATATTTATTTTGTGTACTTATGGGCCAGTGGTTTATGATCTCATGCATTTATGGCATGTGTAATCTGCCTTTTAGGTAACTGTGCCATTGACCCATATTATCAACGCCCTTCACTCCTTGAAAACTTCAGCCACCTCTGCTGCCACTGCCTCAGTTCAGAGTCTACAGAGAGACATTTCACCAGAGCATGACCTACTTCTTAACAAGACTGACAGACAGGTAGGCTTTATCACAAAGCATCATGTGAATTGAGACTACTTATTCTGCAGTTGCTGATTGAGCATTGTTGTTTTTTTATTGTTGATCAGAATTAATAAACATAGAAACAAGCAGTTTAACCACGACAAGCACAGATGTGATCAGTACATATATGATGCTAGATTTTGGTGCTTCTCAAGGATCTAGCAGCAATGGGAACATTTCTTTATATATAAGTCATAAGTTTCTGTGTAGGAACGGTAGTGATTTGCAAGTTTTCACAAGGTACTGGTGTTCCTGACTTTGACTGACTTCTTTCCTCCAGCCTAAACTAAACCTTAAGGACTTGGGCTTGTCAGAGCTGAGACTGAATGGAGCAAATGAGCTTCTGAACAGGCTGCTACCCACACTAGCTCCTGAGGAAAGCTCAGAATCTAGTGTGTGCCATCCCTCCACAAGATGGAAAACATCTCACATCTCTACAGATTCCTTCTTTCACAACAAACATGGTAGGATTCTGTGAGCCTATTTATACTTAGCAACTTCATGCATCTCATATTCAGTGAATGTCCAGATATTATTCATCCACATTCCATTAACGCTTGGCCAGTGTGTCATGGGCCCTGATCATACCCAGTATTAACATGCATTGTCTGATTACAAGTGGACAGCAATACAAAGTTATTTATACCTTGTACTCCAAGCTCTACTGTGCTTTTGTACAAGTAAGCGCTGGTACAAATGTTTAGGTCACATAGACAGGTAAAAGAACAAACAAATGGGAGAGAACATAAGGGGTATAGGTTGTGCTCTGCTATGATGGTGCAGTTGATAAGGTCATCCATCAGTGCTGAGGATGCATCAGGAGACCTTTGCTTTCACACTAAATGTTATGTGGTCATATGCGTTCCTGACAACTTCCGAAGGTGGTTGGACTGATTGGGTTGCATTCTGGGGCCTACTGAGATGATACTGGGCACCACAGAAATTTTGTTCTTTGTATGTAAGCGTTTTATGAGAACTGTAGGCAGCCGTAGTGTTTATTGCCTACTAAAATGTGACAGAGATTGTTATACACAGTTTTTGTTTTGTTGTCTGTGGTTAGATGTTTTGTTAAAGTTTTGTTGAAGTAAATATATGTAACTCCTACAGGGAATGGACTTCTGTGAATGGTGATGCACAATCACAGTTTATTTTCTGAATTAAACAGATTTGGGGGAAAAAAACATAATGTGGCCTGGGTAAAAGTTATAGCACATTTGATACTTCTTTTTTTTCCCCAATATTTTACACTCAGCAAAAAAAAAGCGTGTTCAAGCGTGTTCAAACAGCATTACAATTCTCCCTGTGGTCAGGCAGTGTTCTTTCCTGACAAATGAATCTGCAATTGATCAGATATTTAATGCTGCATGGACAGTCACTGCCAGTAAAAGTATTGTCCTACCAGTGTTGGCTCCTCTCTCTCTCACATATAGAGCGTTGTCATTATTTCTTTTTTCAGAGATGTGGCTTTATGTATTATGTGACAGTTAAGTAGAAACATGTTGCACAGACTTGTGTGGGGAGGAAAGATACCTGTATGTGAATAGTTTGTGTGCATTTTTACCTGTTAAAAAAGTATATGTCAAGTAATTCAAGTAATGGGGATAACTGATGACTTATTATTTCACATAAAATGATTTTATAATTTCACTGGTAAAAAGTAGGGTCATATTGACTTTGCTGAGTTGTTTATTTCATTAATGGAAGTAACAATCCACTCTTATGGTATGCTTTACCAGGCTTCTCTTACAGAAGACCAGGACTCTTCAGTTCTCCTCTATTCCATAGACAAAGTCCACTTCAGGCAGTTTGCTCAGATCTTCAGCGTTTACAAGGTAATGTGAACTGTGAACTATGACACCGCTGGCCTGTATATTCAGATACTTAATTATCTGCATCAGCTGTATTAGTTTAGGTTTGAAACAATAGCCATAAGGCAGTCAGTCGTGCAACTAAGCCAGCTATTTATTAATGAGCAGATGTACAAAGTGGCCACTGAGTGTATGTAATATAGATAATTTTTGTTGCTCCTCCTGTGAAGTTTGTGTCCAGAGCAGAGGTTTCAAGACGCTGAGGTCCAAGACTAGGCGACTGCAGTCTAGCTATGAGAGTCCTGCAGAACCCGAGGGCTACACTCCAGCATTCATGAAGGTTAGTGACCCATTATTCTGTGGTGTAGAGCTCTCAGGTATTTTTTAAAGACTTTTCTTTTTATATATGGTAGTAAATTGTCATGTGATAACTCTTTGTTGTTGGACTGCAGAAGAGAGTTAACATCTCTCTTTTTTGAAAAGTTTTGGCAGTCTTTGCCTCCTTCATTCATCCTGGTATGTTTCTCTCTATCAGGGTCTCCTCATGAGGGATAAAGCTGAAGCAGAAAGCCTCGACCAGTTAATGAAACAGAAGAATCTTCCTGAGAATCAGCAAGATGCCTTTAAGACTGGTTTCACAGAGGGCTTTATGAAATCTCAAGCCCTAATGCAGAGAACACAAGGCATGTTATCTATTCTGTTTTTTTTTGTGGTGTCATAAACATGTTCAACAAGATTGGTGCATTTCCATTGGTGGCCTTACTCTCTTGCACCAAGTAAGATATAGGTTGTGGTTAAGTGTTACCTTAATTGCAAAGGAATTTTTGTGTCATAAATGGGTCATGGGAGCTTTTTTAACAAATGAATAAAATGTGGCAAAACCAATGGAGGAAATAATGAAATTAATGAAGGAAACCAATATTGTTATGCTTTTTCTGACAGATTCTCTTAAGAGGACCCGTCTCATTTTGCTTGTCCTCTTACTTGTTGGCATCTATGGCCTCTCAAGAACTCCCTTTCTCTCGGGTAAAGGCTCCTTTTCTGATACTGGTTTGTTTCCTTTTTTATTCACTCTCTATATTTGCATGCATACCATATTTAGACTGATGATAAATAGTGCTTATTCTTTATAATGCTCTAGAACTTTTTTCTGTACTAACAAACTGGATCTATTTCCCTACTGCTAGTAGAGTGTGGGCAAAACAGCATTCACTGTTGTTTTCATTTTTTTCAAAGTATCTATCTTTTCTTGCTAATTTTTGAGTATGTCAAAAAGAAAAATAAATTAATAATTGAACAAATTATTATTATTATTATTTTTTTAAGAAAATCATTTTAAAAATTTGGGATTTACTTTGGAAACCATACTAGTTTTCTATTTGCTGTGTGTAGTGCATCATTACTGTCTGGTCTAGTTTCCAGTTAGCATATAGAACTGGTAAAGGGGTAGACGATGTTACTGTTACTCTGCTGAATCTTCTTTATAGACATCTCGAAAGTCCAAAGACTCATGCAAGACTCTTGTTTGTGGATTTCTTATCTGCCCCTAACACAGTAAAACCTCAAATCTTAGTAAATAAACTTTTTGCACAATTTAATATTGGTTCTAGCCTAGCAGCCTGGATTATGGATTTTTTAATATATACGCTACAGCAAGTTAATGTCGAAACCCTTCTCTCTTCTACTGGCTTACCACAAGGTTGTGTTTTGTCTCCTCTCTTGTATATACTTTACACAAATGACTGTAGATGTCAGTACCAAGATAGATATATTCCTGAATTTGCAGACGATACAGTGATTGTTAGCCTGCTACAAGCCATTAAGGTGGCAAGCAAAATAGTTTGGTGTTGTCAAAGCTCATTTAAATGACACATTCATCTGTCTCCTTACTCAGAAAGTGAGATTGATAGAGTTTTCCAGACCATCCACTTTTTGAGTTTCAGCTTCTTCCTTCTGGATGCAGATTTAGGCTCCTGATGGTTAATAGTAACAGATGGGAGAACTCTTTCATACCCAAGGCTATAGGGCAATTAAATTTGTGAAATGTATTGTTTTAGATTATTGCATTTAATATATGAGCTGTATTGTGCGTTTTGATCTTGATCTTGATTGATCTTGATCTTGATTGGTCTTGATTAGCCCCCGGTGGCTTTTTAATTAGTTGTTTAGATTGTATTAACTAAGTATGCAGTTTCTGCATATCACACTATGATGTTAAAGTCTGAAGCATGTATCTTTGCCATATTGCAGTCTGTTGTTTTCCTTTGCTAATATCTTGTTCATTTAACAGTTCGATTCCGTACTACATCTGGTCTTGATTCTGCATTGGATCCTATCCAAATGAAGAATGTCACCTTTGAGCATGTGAAGGGTGTTGAAGAGGCAAAGAGTGAGCTTCAGGACATTGTTGAGTTCCTGAGGAATCCCCAGAAATTCACCGCACTTGGTGGAAAGCTACCCAAAGGTATTGGTACCCAAAGATACCCCCTGGATAGAAGGTGTAAGTAGTGATGTTTTCACGCTCTTTTCTTAAAAGATGAAAACTAATAGTTTCTATTTGTTTCCATTTCCAAACTTGCTTACAGGTGTCCTTTTGGTGGGTCCCCCTGGTACAGGAAAGACTCTGCTTGCCAGAGCAGTGGCAGGGGAAGCAGACGTGCCATTCTACTATGCATCAGGGTCAGAGTTTGATGAGATGTTTGTAGGTGTTGGAGCAAGTCGCATCAGGAACCTCTTCAGTGAGTCTGAAGAGCTTTTAGGATGATACAGCCCTGCGTGTGAATGTTGTATGCGTGTAGCAATAACTCAGATCTGTGACTGTCTTTATGGCTGGTAAAACATAGGGTGAGTGCTTGTTTCATTCTCTTTTTTAAGTTCTGTAAGGTTTCTTTATTTTTGTTTTCCTTTTCTTACAGAGGAGGCAAAAGCTAATGCCCCCTGCGTGATCTTTATTGACGAGCTGGACAGTGTGGGTGGAAAACGGATAGAGTCACCCATGCACCCATATTCACGACAGACTATTAACCAGCTTCTTGCAGAAATGGATGGGTGAGTAGTTTGTATTATTCAAAATCTATTAATACTGTAAGCTTTGGCTAGTTGTAATTTTTTAATTTGTATTGGAAAATTTCAGGTTTAAACCAAATGAAGGAGTCATTGTTATTGGGGCAACAAACTTTGCTGAAGCTTTGGACAAGTAAGTGCAATGTTTTGAAAATTATTCCATAGGTCTTCAACCATAATTTTACTAAGAGCTGAATATACCTCTAATTGAATTTTCAAAGAGCAAAAAGTGAAAGGGTAATATGAAGTAGTTTTACATAATAGCTTCATGAACCAAGAAAATGGTCTTATGAAGTATAACGAGACTATAGTCTCTTATTTATCTATTTTTCTGTATTTATTCAGTTTTTGTCTGCTGTGTAGTGCTCATGTATATGTGTATGTGTTTCAATACAAGTGCTCTGGTGAGACCGGGGAGGTTTGACATGCAAGTCACAGTCCCCAGACCCGATGTGAGAGGACGTACAGAGATCCTCAACTGGTACTTAAAGAAAATCAAAGTGGATTCTGGTAAGAGAGTATGTAGTCTTGTAATCTGCCAAGACATACACAATTGTATGTTGTATTTTTAAACTAAACGTGTGTACTTGCTTGATGTAGATGTGGATGCAGAAATCATTGCCAGGGGAACAGTGGGCTTTTCTGGAGCAGAGCTGGAGAACTTGGTCAACCAGGCAGCACTGAAGGCTGCTGTGGATGGAAAGGAGACAGTGACAATGAAGGATTTGGAGTTCGCTAAGGACAAAATTCTAATGGGTGAGGGGCCTCATTCTCTGCGCACATGTGACAGGGATTACTGTGGGAAGGCTCCACTACAAAGGACTAACATTGTTTCCAAAGCTCATTTTTGTTGTGTATTTCTCACCAGGCCCAGAGCGCAGGAGCGTGGAGATAGACAAGAAAAACAAGACCATCACAGCCTATCATGAATCCGGTCATGCCATTGTGGCATATTATACCAAAGATGCTATGCCAATCAATAAAGCTACCATCATGCCACGAGGGCCCACTCTTGGTCATGTAAGTATCGGTAATTACCACACTGCACTGTAGTGCTTGTTAATATCAATCCTAAACATCATAGCTCCTCCTGCATATTTATTTTACATTTATATCTTCTGACTCAGGTGTCCATGCTCCCCGAAAACGATCGGTGGAGTGAGACTCGTGCTCAGCTGTTGGCACAGATGGATGTCAGTATGGGTGGCAGGGTAGCAGAGGAGCTCATCTTCGGGGGTGAAAATATCACTACTGGTGAGCTTTAATTTGTGATTTCTTTTGACAGTTTGGTGAATTTTAGTTTAGGTTATGTTTGTAAATACTGATTATTATTCACAGGAGCATCAAGTGATTTTGATGGAGCCACTAAGATTGCAAAGTTGATGGTTACACGATTTGGAATGAGTGACAAGGTATGATTATTGCCTACATGCTTTGTCAAGTTCATGATTACCCTGCAGTGATAAGTGATGCTTCTCTAAAATGAATGTATTTTATGTATGTAATGTTGTAGTGATTACATATGTGTAATCTTGCTTTTATGGGTCATATTGTTTATCTTCTACAGGCGTAGTTATGAGCACACAGTGTTAAGTTTGACAGTCTACCTTTTTCAGACAACATTTAAGAAAGTAACATGGCAGTAAATCTTAAATGCCTTTAATTTATGAATTCAGACAAAGACACAAAACCTAGATGATAATGAACTGAGGGAGACAGGAAACCCAGATGATGAGGGTCAGAAAGACACTGAGAACCCAAATGATGAGAGACAGAGGGAGGCAGAGAACCCTGATGATGAGAGAAAAGAGGGATGTAGAGAACCCTGATGATTAGAGAAAAGAGGGAGGTAAAGAACCCTGATGATGAGAGACAGAGGGAGGCAGAGAACCCTGATGATGAGAGAAAAGAGGGACGTAGAGAACCCTGATGATGAGAGAAAAGAGGGACGTAGAGAACCCTGATGATGAGAGACAGAGGGAGGCAGAGAACCCTGGTGATAAGGGAGGAAAACTGAGATATAGTGTTTATTGTGCAAAAACTTAGTTTTAGTTGTTTAATTAGAAGTTAGTCAATTCAAATATTGAATTACACCAAACCAAACCAGACACTGTATTAATGGACCAAAATGTAGTTCTTTTTATCATAAAAATGAATTACTTTCTTTTAACACTGATAAAAGAAATGTGTTGTTTCGTTAAAATGTTTTTCTACAATAGCAGCACTTTTAAGTACATATTTAGATTCAAAAGCACTGTGCACATTTCTGGCTCGTAGTCCTTCCCTGTGTGCTGAGAACTGGGTTTTTCCTCCTCTTGTGGCATTTTCACTGTTGCGTAATCAATCTGAGCCTATTATTTTTTCTACTTTTTTCAGCTGGGAGTCATGACCTACTCTGACCTGTCTAAACATAGCCCAGAGACACAAGCAGCTGTGGAGCAGGAAGTCAGGGTGCTGCTACAGGTACAGAGACCACCTTTGACTTTTTCCTCATTCAGTTGGCTCAGTCAAGCGTGCTTGCACATAATCAAAAGGAGTACAAATCCTAATGATGATCATTTTCTGCTCTTGTAATTCTTCCAACAGGACTCATATGAGCGTGCTAAGAAACTCCTCAAGACATACAGCAAAGAGCATAAGAAACTGGCTGATGCTCTGCTCACTTATGAGACTCTGGATGCAAAAGAAATTCAGATGGTTCTGGAGGGCAAATCCCTGGACCCAAGATGATATTTTTCATAAGGATTTTAAAGAGACTTAAGTTATAACCTTGTTCTTTCAAACATAAACAGTGGAATGTGTAGAACCCTCGATACAATTTTCAGTTCTTCCTCTCAATCAGTTGAAACAAATGTACTGAACTGGCACTTTTTTTGTTTCACTTTATGCTTTTCTGTGCTGGTTTAAAAAACATTTTACCTCCTTATAAGTCTCTTCTCTTCACTTTGACAATGGAATGTTGCCGCTGCATATTTGCAACCTAGTAATCACTGAGTATTGTTGTGCACCCATCGCACAGAGGAGAAGGGCCATCCTTGTGTACCTCTCATTGTCAATTAATGCCTGTAATCAAGAGAGACAGAAATAAGAGTGGGACTTAATGACTCAAGTAGGAACTAAAAATCATTGTTCCATAGTTATCTGATTTTGGTAGTTGGTATATTTCTGTATATTTACTATACATGTATAATATACATTGCAGTGTACAGCACCATGTGAGTGTGGAGTTAGCTTATGTTTGTGGAAGCAGAGCATTTTGTGGATGATTTTCTGTTAACTTCACTCTTTTTTAAGTGAGTAATCTCAAGTTAGTAGCACTTTTTTTTCATTTTTTTGGCACAACATTTAAGTGACCACAGATACATCATCTTTGAAATGAAATATGGGTGTGTTTGAGCCCATTATCCTGTCCTATTCTGTTAGAAAAAAATGCTTGATATAATCCTAGGAGTACAGTGTTTTATTTTACAGCCTTAATTATGAGCCAAGAATGTAACATCAGAACTTTAGTGTTACTTCAATATCTAGTATTTTCTCCACACATAAAGGGCTAGGTCTGCAAATCTATGTATTGTTGCTATTGAGAGAACCCCTGTATTTCAGATTTTTCTTTTTTTTCAGAAGATGGGGAAAAAGTACTTGCATTACACAAAAGTTTGCGCTAATTGTCACAAGACCATTTTAAGAGATATGAGCTTTTTTCATTTCCCAAATGAAATAAAGGGAGTGGAAGTGACAAACATGGCTCACTGATGCAGATTTCTGTTTTCCACATCAGTTGGAATTGGTAGGTTATTGAGGTGTGTGCACACACCGGTGATTTTATTTAGTGATTTATTTATTTGTGTAATATTTGTCATGTTCCAAAACCTTGTCTTTGCTCCATAAACTGCAGCTAGTCTGTGAGTGGTGTAAGAGTTATGGTGGCAACACTGTATATAAGTGTGTTTGTAAAGTTTTGCGTCTGCTCTAAGATTTATTCCACAGTGAGACTTATTTGCCCAAATAAAAATGAACAATAAACTATTGAAGTGTACTGAAATTCCTGCCGGTCTTGTTTGTAAAATCACTATGGCATTCTTTTTTAATTATCTATATTAGCATGATTACCAGTGGTTTAATGAAAGTAATCTTTTGAAGTTACCTGCCTTGTCTGAAAAGAGCGAGTGGGCTGTTCTAGACAATAGCATGCTCAGTGTAGCTGCTGGGTACTTTATCCTTATTAAAAGGTATAGCATTCAGTTCTTTGGTTCACCTGCTTTCCCCTAGTTGGCTATTTTCTCTCTTCAGTAGTGCATGGCAACGTTTAAGCTCTTCTTCCTGCCCAATCAGGACTGAGAGAATTCTATACCACTGAATAAGTTTGGGGAAAATGCCCCTATTATATAAACTTAAACTGCCCTTTTCTTCTTTGCCCAACCATGCAATTACTGGCTTTTGTTTCAAAGCATTTTAATTGTGGTTTACAGCAAGACTATTATGTGCAACCAAATACCTACTTTCTTGAAAGAGACTTTTGTTTAAACTTTTCTTCCTGTCTTGAAAATCTTTATAAAGGCTCCAAGGGGTCTTGGAGGACAGGCATGGACGTGATAGCATGCACTCTGGTTGGCGACAAGAAAAGTGGAGGAGATTTGCAGTTGGTGTGCCGCAGAATGTTTGACTTGTAAAAAATATAGTTGCATCACTCCAATTTTTTTGGTCCTTGACTTAATGAAATAACCAACATGGATGGAGACGTAGCTGTAGTTGGCATTGGGTGCAGCTTCCCAGGAGGTAAGTGCCAATGCTTTCACTGATTTTTTCTTGAGTCTGGTATGTAAACATGTATAAAGTAAGTGGTACACTCACAGGTGAGGGTCTCGACAACTTCTGGAAAGTTCTTGTTAATGGGAGAAATTGTGCTGTGGAGATTCCAGAGGACAGATTTGACTTAACACACTGGTATGATCCCGATGACAATATTCTGGGGAAAACACAGACTACTAAAGCTGCTTTCATAGACGGGTAGGTATTTCTTGGTATTATTATTATTATTATTATTACTATTATTATTATTATGATGATATGTAAAAAAATAGCTTGTGGTTGATCCACGGTATGTAAAAACGTTTCAAATTGTAAAAATGAATTATCCAAACAACACCAATTTCTTTGTGACATATTTTAAAGTTTCTTCCTAAAATTTACATTTCTTATGAATTCCTGACACTTGACATTAGATTTGTAGGTAAGTGATGAGTCTGAGGTTGTCCAGAATGTCAGATTTAATTCAAACACAATTACGGGTGCATCTCAATAAATTAGAATATCATTGAAAAGTTAATTTATTTCAGTAATTCAATTCAAAAAGTGAGACTCATATATTATATAGATTCATTGAACACAGAGTGATCTATTTCAAGCATTTATTTCTTTTAATGTTGATGATTATGGCCTACAGCCAATGAAAACCCAAAAGTCAGTATCTCAGAAAATTTGAATATTATATAAGACCAATTTAAAAAATGATTTTTAATATATAAATGTTGGCCTACTGAAAAGTATGTACAGTATATGCACTCAATACTTGATCGGGGCATCTTTTGCATGAATTACTGCATCAATGCGGCGTGGCATGGAGGCGATCAGCCTGTGGCACTGTTGAGGTGTTATGGAAGCCCAGGTTGCTTTGATAGCGGCCTTCAGCTTGTCTGCATTGTTGGGTCTGGTGTCTTTCATCTTCCTCATGACAATACCCCATAGATTCTCTATGGGGTTTAGGTCAGGTGAGTTTGCTGGCCAATCAAGCACAGTGGTACTGTGGTTATTAAACCAGGTTTTGGTACTTTTGGCAGTGTGGGCAGGTGCCAAGTCCTGCTGGAAAATGAAATCCACATCTCCATAAAGCTTGTCAGCAGAGGGAAGCATGAAGTGCTCTAATATGTCCCGGTAGACGGCTGCGCTGACTTTTTACTTGATATAACACAGTGGACCAACACCAGCAGATGACATGGCTCCCCAAACCATCACTGATTGTGGAAACTTCACACTAGACCTCAAGCAGCTTGGATTGTGTGCCTCTCCACTCTTCCTCCAGACTCTGGGACCTTGATTTCCAAATGAAATGCAAAATTTACTTTCATCTGAAAACAGGACTTTGGACCACTGAGCAACAGTCCAGTCCTTTTTCTCCTTGGCCCAGGTAAGACGCTTCTGACGTTGTCTCTGGGTCATGAGTGGCTTGACACAAGGAATGTGACAGTTGTATCCCATGTCCTGGATACGTCTGTGTGTGGTGGCTCTTGAAGCACTGACTCCAGCAGCAGTCAACTCCTTGTGAATCTTCCCCCAAATTCTTGAATCGCCTTTTCTTGACAATCCTTTCAAGGCTGCGGTTATCCCTGTTGCTTATGCACTTTTTTCTACCACACTTTTTCCTTTTAGCAATGACCTTTTGTGGCTTACCCTGCTTGTGGAGGGTTACAATGACTGCCTTCTGGACAACTATCAGGTCAGCAGTCTTCCCCATGATTGTGTAGCCTACTGAACCAGACAGAGGGACCATTTAAAGGCTTAGGAAACCTTTGCAGGTGTTTTGTGTTGATTAGCTGATTAGAGTGTGACACCATGAGTCTACAATATTGAACTTTTTCACAATATTCTAATTTTCTGAGATACTGACTTTTGGGTTTTCATTGGCTGTAGGCCATAATCATCAACATTAAAAGAAATAAACACTTGAAATAGATCACTCTGTGTTCAATGAATCTATATAATATATGAGTCTCACTTTTTGAATTGAATTACTGAAATACATTTACTTTTGGATGATATTCTAATTTATTGAGATGCACCTGTATACGCATTATTGTTGAACCATATAGCAACTACAGCCATTCTAATTCAATACATAATTAATCTCCACTCTTTCCATAAACTAAAAGAAACTGACCAAAATAATCTTAAATAAAAGCGGGATGTACAGTTGTATGCAAATGTTTGGGCACCCCAGTCAAATGATGTTTAGTTTTCATGAAAATAGGTTAACAAATCCTCCACAGAGAACACACTTTAGCACATTTTAATGCACAAGAACATTTGCTGAATTTAACGTAACGGAAAAAATAATGACCTGTGCAAAAGTAATGGCATATTTTGTATTTTCCCATATGCTAAACTCTATTGAAATTTTAATAAAATTAGCAGAACAATGGTACACTGAAGTTTGTTCTCTGTAGAAGATGTGTTAATTTATTTTCACTTTCACACAGAAAATAAACTGTCATTAAAATGTCATTTGACCAGGGAAACTCACATTTTGGCATTCGACTGCATAGTACTTGGTTGAAAAACATTAATGATTGCCTGTTGTCTATGAACCATAGACATCACTAGACTGGGTACCTCACTGATGATGTTCATGCCTAGAACGTAGCAGTAGGGTTGGGGTCATTGTTCTGCAGCAAGCTAAAACATAGACTTATGAGTCTTGAGGCTTTTGGTTGATTATGAGCCGTTATGATGTTCCTAAAATGATTCTATTCATACTGTTGGTGTAAATTACTTTTAATACCTTATATAGGAGGACTAAAAGGCTGTTATTCCTGAATTGTTTGTCTAGTATTTATGCAGATATTATCCAATTAAAGCTGTCAGTCAGTACTTTCACTTCATAGGCAGTTCTGTTCCAAATCCAATACACACATGGACAACAATTTGTTATCTACTCAACCCTTTTGTGAAGACTATTAGACATACATGAGCCATGAACTACAAACTTCTGCCCCATACTTAGTGTATAAAGTTATAATGGATTATTTGTTGTGTCAAAAAAAGATTGATTTTCTCAGCTACAGAAAATGATTTAATCAATTAAAAGTCTGCTTCTTGTTTTCCACTAGGTTTAATGAGTTTGATCACAAGTTTTTTGGCATCTCTGAGGATGAGGCTAACTTCATGGATCCCCAGCAGAAGCTCCTTCTGCGATGTTCTTATAGAGCACTGGAGGATTCTGGGATTCCCATGGAAAAAGTCAGTGGCTCCAGAACAGGAGTTTATATAGGTAATAAATACATCAAATGTTTCACGAATATATGTTTTTCTACTGAGTGTAGTAAAACCCCTCACTGTGTGAGACATGTTTATTTTTCAGGGCTCATGAACAGAGACTATGAGACACTATTAAACAACAGCCCTAGCACAATAACACACTTTAACGGCACAGGAACAGCTATGAGCATAGCTGCCAACAGGATCTCCTATACCTTCAACCTTACTGGGCCTTCATTCTCTATTGACAGTGCCTGCTCATCCTCCTTAGTTGCGCTCCATTCTGCTTGTCAGGCAATCAGACAAGGTAATGCCTTTTTAACACACTATTGCAAAAACAAAATGGAAATGTTATACATACATATATGCCACTACTAAATCTCAGGTCTCGAAAGCAAGTAACTTTCTGAACATGAAGATTTGTTATGTGTTATCTGATGACTAATGTCAAATGTCAAGACATGTATCATAAAGTTCTATTCTATACTATTCTAATCTGTTCTATTCTGGTGATTCAGTTATATATAAGTTTAATGCAGGGTTTCATGTTGGTGTATACTTTTCTTTTTAATTGTGCTCTAAAAGGTAGTGATGGCCAGAGCAAGGCAATTTGACATTAATTTTAAAGCTGCCCTGTTAATCTTCAGGACGTAGCTCGTGAATACATATTTTCAGTTTTAGTTTTTTTTTAAATTAACTTTCTTCCATTATTTGTTCTGCAATTTTGGCTAATTTGTTTTCTTTTTTACTAGGTGATTGTGAGATGGCTCTTTGCGGAGGTGTGAGCTGCATTCTTGAGCCACGGGTTTTTGTGGCTCTGAGCAAAGCGAAAATGATCTCACCAGGAGGCATTAGTAAGCCATTCTCCAATACAGCAGATGGATATGGAAGAGGAGAAGGCTGTGGAATACTTCTACTAAAGCCTTTGAACAAAGCAAGTGTGTTTTAATGATATTGAAACTGTCACTGTTAAAGACAATATATTCCAAGGGCATGTTTTAATCA